CAAGTTACGATGGTAAGATTTTACTTAACTGTCGAAATGTTTCGTTATCCTTACCGGTATCAATATCAAAGCTGAATGAAGCACAGATCAAGTCAACATGGTGACGAAATAGATCATCATGTGACATAATTATAACTCAATCCTGAATGACAGCAGTGCGCACTCAAGAAACGACATCCGTTTAACGTAGGTCGACGTGTTCACTATCGATACTGCTAACAATATCAGCATTGAATGAAACGGGTAAACTGAATGTTGTGGCACGATAAATTACTAGCAACATAATGCTTAATGCTGCGTGCACTCAAGGGGCAATATCAAAGGCTGCGTAACAGTTTCCTACTTGCAACCCCAACTTTGAAATACTAGAATATGAAAGATAACGCGACAAAACTAGGAGGGAACAAGCAATACTTTTGCTCAAACAGTTCCATCGCAGCAACCAACAGTGAAGGCTTCGAAGTACTTTACGACACGTTGTAAAGACTATAAAATAGAATTTATGACGGCAAGACATGCAAGTCGCTTCTAATCAGAAATAAGCAATTATAACGTTTAACAATTACACAGCGCATCGCCGCACTGCGGAAGGGAAGGGAAGGTTTGGCACCATTTACTTTCAGACTGAACCATTTTGGCGCCCTTAATTTCAAGACGTTGATGGTGCAGTGTTCATCTCCGTTGTTATACCATCAGCCTGGAGTGGCTTATTATTTAAAGGCAGAGTCCATAACTATGTGGCAAACGTAGCGTGTATGTTCCTGTTTCCTCCGCACAGAGTGGTAATCATTCATCAGCTTCGGAAGAAGCGACCCTCACCTCCCTTGAACTGGGGAGTCTTGAGTTTGACGCTCAACTGATTGAGCACTCACGGTCTGAAGTTGCGTGGCTGGTACGTTTTTTGCTTAAGAAAATTCGTGAATAAGACAAAGACAGCCCTCCGGCACCGCGAGAGTTCGATGCAGACGTCGTAGACACAGTGACAACACGCCACATTGCGGAAAAATTTGTGGAAGGACACGGTTAAGCAATTCACATGTGCGAAACAAGGTTACCAACACGAGTACTTCTCACTATTTGACATATGTTAAGTTAAGATGCCACTATCATGTTAAAACAATATAACTTTGAGGGCTGAATGAAGGATCGCTGTCCTTCACGATTAAGCTATTAATAAACAGCGACTAGGCCAAAACGTTAACTTGACTTAATGAATTCATTTGCTCAGTCCTACTATCAGTAAAGACACATAACGATCGTCACGTACAATCGTACTATCATTGTTTCGCATTTGGATATTCTGAGGCATGAAAACTGAAAAATGCATAAAACACGTCTTTTATACACAACGCAAACGAATAAGTTGATCAATCGAGTGAATGACCAGTACCGACGTTTTGGCTCCTCTCCTACAAGCCTCCTTTATTGTGGTTCCGAGTTAGTTTCTGCAGTTGTTTGTGTGGTCCGCAGCCGTTTT